CGCCTCGCCAGCAGCCGAGGAGGAGGACATGCCCTTCGAGCGCTACACGTTGGACCAGTTTCCGACGGGCAAGTACGAGGGCATCGCGACGGAGCAGCTGCCCTGGAGGCCGCGGCGAAGGGAGGTCTTTGTCCTCAACCTCTTCTGCGGGGTCCGCAGGTCAGACGACATCCAGGACTGCCTCGAAGCGAGCATCAGCTACGAGCAGATCAGCACGACGATTCAGATCGTGGTGCTCAGCATTGACGTCGCCATCGATGCGGAGAGGTGCGACCTGATGAAGTCGAGTAACCTCCGCACCTTCGGCGACGCCATCCGATCCCACCAGGTGATCCTCACAGGCGGCGGCCCGCCATGTGAAACGTGGAGTGCGGCGAGGTGGTCGGACATGCCAGGGCCGCCGCCACTGAGGACCCACGACGAGTACTGGGGGGTGCCGCACGCCACCCCCAAGCAGAGGCTGCAGCTGGCGGTCGGCAACGCGCTGCTCCAGGCCATGGTGAAGCTGATGGCGGACCACCTGGCAGCAGGCAGCGCGGCGTGGATGGAGCACCCCATCCCGGCGCACTGGCGCCGCGAGGCAGTGACGAGCTGGACATGGGAGCCACTCTTGGCACTCCAGTCGTGCCCAGTCGTCAGCACCACGGACTTCGACCAGTGCGAGCACGGCGGCAAGGCTGGCAGGGCACCGACGAGGATCGTCGGCGTGAGGGTGAGCGGCCTGCACCGACGCCTGAGGGCGACGCCCGGCCAGGGGCGTTGCTCGCATGGACGTGGAGCGCACTCAGTGCTCCTGGGTAAAGCAGAGACGGGGGGGGAGTTTAAAACGGCGGCCAAGAAGGTCTACCCCCCCGGCCTTTGCAGGGCCCTCGCCGAGTCGATTGTTCAGACGGTTGTGGATTTTTCGGCCGTGGAACCTGGGGCCGGGTCCCAGACCGAGCCGGGTTGTCCTGAGGTGGAGGGTCTTCGGGACTTTTTCGTCGGGTCCATTCCTGAGGAGGGAGCTGCTTGGGCGCCGGATTTTCGGGCTGGGCCTAGGAGCTCTCGACCTGATCCCGAGAGGGAGCGCTTCAGGCGCCCTCTGGTCCTGGCGTTCTCGGGGTCACAGTGTACCCCCCCTGGCCCCAGCCAGCCGCCAGGCAGCCTGGCCCCCAGGTTGGACCCCCCCGAGGACCCCACCCAAGAGGACCTGTACGTAGGCTCCGTTGGGCTCGCCTCTCCCTTTGTTCCCCCTGCCCCGCCTCCCTCGCCTCTCCCGCCCCCTCCCCCCCTCCTCAGCGAGTCCCAACGCGAGCGAATTCGAGCGAACCGAGCCGAGGCGATGAGGAGGCGCCATGTAAGACGTGCCCCATGGATCGCACAATCCGGCTTTGGGTTCCTCTTTTAGCTTTTGCTCCTCCCCTTTCCCAAGGGCTGGTTGAGCGCATAGCACGCCCTCTGGGTTTGCTATGCCCGACGCGCGCATCAGCGGTGCGTGTCGGCTTCCATTCGGCGTGTCGATTTGCGACCGAGGCCGCACTGATCCCGCTGATCCTCCTCCCTCCTCCCTCCTCCCTCCTCCCTCCTCCCCTCCTCCCTCCTCCCTCCCCCTCCCTCCTCCCTCCTTCTCCTCCTCCTCCTCCTCCCTCCTCCTCCTCCTCCTCCTCCTCCTCCTCCTCCTCCTCCTCCTCCTCCTCCTCCACCCCCTTTTCGGAAGCAGCGCGTCCGCCGCCCCCAAAGGAGGGAACCACGACATCAAAGCATACACTCTCGGTGGCCGGTCGGCGCCGATGTCTCCCCGATCGGCGACGGCCCCCCCCCTTCGCTGGCGCGCGGAGAGCGCACCGGAGCCGCGCCAGAGGCGCCGCGCCACAGAGGATGCCACGTGAGGTGAGGACACATTGCGCCTGTCGTGCACCGTGTGCTCGGCTTCGATCGGGCGTGTGCATTTTTCGGCGAGGACCACCGAGGAGCATCTTGGATCCTCATGCGGGGAAGAGAAGCACGCACGGAACCGAACAATACGCGGGGAGTAGACGTCCAGGCGGTGGCAGGCTTGCCGCCATGAGGGCAGCGGGTCCTGGGGGAAACGGGTCCTGAGGCTCTTAGCCGATTTCGGACCCTCGGGGCCCTCCACGGGCCCCCGGACTGTCTGAAAACGACTCAGAATGAATACCTCGCTTTGGGGGAAGGCCCCAGGGTCCAGGAGCCGTTTCCCTCAGGACTCCTTTCCCCCATGCTGCTTGTGCCGACCATGCGCAGAGGGGGGGGGGCAGGGGAAGGGGGCCCGGGGAAGGTTTCTTAGAAGCACCCCTGCTTCTTAGGAGGCGCGGGCGTCGTCTACAAGGTCTAGGGCTGGCGCCTCCTGAGAAGCAGTCTTCCTCCAAGAAGCCTTCCCCCACCCCCTCCGCGCGTATTGCTCCCCCCCGTTGCCGCCCGCCCCCTCCGAGGGCCTCTGTCCAGAGACGCCCCCTCCGCTACAGCGTTCCAGCGCTCTCTTCTTATCCGCCCGCCTCCTCCTCCTCCCCTCCTCCTTCTCCTCTCCTCCTCCTCCTCTCTCCTCCTCCTCCTCCTCCTCTCCTCCTCCTCCTTCCTCCTCCCCTCTCCTCCTCCTCCTCCTCCTCCTCCTCCTCCTCCTCCTCCTCCTCCTCCTCCTCCTCCTCCGCCTCCACCTCCCGATCCTCCTCCTCCTCCAAGTGCCTCCGCCTTCGAAAAAGAAAGCGCGACATGAACATGCCCTTTCGCAGCTCCGCGCGGGTGTCTCGGCTCGACGCTGGGCCAGAGGCCTCTCCGGCGCTGCCGCCCCGAGGCGCCCTATCCGAGTAAGGACGCCCGCGCCGGACCTCTGGAGTTTGTGCTTGCAGCGTTCCAGCATGCTCTTCCCCGTCAGCCTGGTCTCCCCCCCCCCGATCCTCAGAGGAGGGCGAGGTACCCATACCTCTGCCCTTCAGCCGTTTCCCCCTTTTTGGGCCTACTGGGAGGACCTCGTCGCCACCGCTGGATTCGCCTCGAAACTCTGATCAGAACGCACCCCGGGAGAGGTCCAGGGAGTAGCGGTATTGGTACTTTTTGGTTTCCCTTGATCCGAGCCAAGACACCCGCGCTGGTTTGTAGCGTTCCAGCGTTCTCTTCCCCGTCGGCCCGGTCCCCCCTCCCCGGTTCCGGTCAGGGGTCCGAGGCGAACCTGGCCACTGCGACGAGGGCGCCCTCCTGGGAGGCCCTGGAAGGCACCCTTCTAGTTAACATTTGGATCCTCGACGCTTTTCTATGATTCCTCTTCGTTCTCCTTCCACCACTCCTCCCCCTCCTCCATCCGCTTCCCTTCTGAGTAACTCCTTCCTGTCGCACCCCCAGACGTGACGGTAGGGCGGGCGGCGCGTTTCGTCTGAGATTTCTTCACCATTGACTATCCTGAAGCTTGAAAGTTGCAACAGCTTCGAGGATTGAGGACGGATGGTTTTCGCTGTGTGGCGTTCGCCTTAGAGCCGCGTGCATTCGTCGTAAAAGCTTGCAACAGTTTTGAGGATGGAGAGCGGATGATTTTCAGAATGTGGTTGTCGCCTTAGTGCCACGTACATTCGTCCTAACAGTGTGCAATAGCCTCAAGGATAGGGGGTGCTTCTTTTTTCAAACTATAATTTTCGCCCTAGCGCCGCGCTCACTCGTCTTATATATTTGCACCAGTTTCAGGGATGTGTAGGGTTGAAACCCAGGAATGTTGGTACGGCACGACTTAGGATGGTCAGGATGCAGCAGTCACGACGAGTCGCGGGATTGAGGAGTCTCAGGGCGCCACAGTCACGTTGATTCCCTGCGTTGAGGTCCCAGGAACGGTGTTCTGACGGCACGCTTGAATGTTCGCAGACTTACGAAAAGATGTGTCACTCCCCGCAATGACAACACATTCCTGTAGGGACCCATGGAGACGGAATTGGGACCTCCAAAGTTTGTGTTTGTAGCGTTCCAGCGTTCTCTTCCCCGTCGGCCCGGTCCCCCCTCCCCGGTTCCGGTCAGGGGTCCGAGGCGAACCTGGCCACACTGCGACGAGGGCGCCATCCTGGGATGCCCTGGAAGGCACCCTCATAGCCAACATTTGGATCCTCGACGCTTTTCTATTATTCCTCTTCATTCTCCTTCCACCACTCCTCCACCTCCTCCATCCGTTTCCCTCATGAGTAACTCCTCCCCGTCGTACCCCCAGACGTGACGGTAGGGCGGGCCAGTCGTTTCGTCTGAGATTTCTTCACCATTGACTATCCTGAAGCTTGAAAGTTGCAACAGCTTCGAGGATTGAGGACGGGTGGTTTTCGCTGTGTGGCTTTCGCCTTAGAGCCGCGTGCAGTCGTCGTCAAAGCTTGCAACAGTTTTGAGGATGGAGAGCGGATGGTTTTCAGAATGTGGCTGTCGCCTTAGTGCCACGTACATTCGTCCAAACAGTGTGCAATAGCCTCAAGGATAGGGGGCGTTTCTTTTCTCAAACTATAATTTTCGCCCTAGCGCCGCGCTCACTCGTCTTAAATTTTTGCACCAGTTTCAAGGATGTGTAGGGTTGAAACCCAGGAATGTTGGTACGGCACGACTTAGGATCGTCAGGATGCAGCAGTCACGACGAGTCGCGGGATTGAGGAGTCTCAGGGCGCCACAGTCACGTTGATTCCCTGCGTTGAGGTCCCAGGAGCGGTGTTCTGACGGCACGCTTGAATGTTCGCAGACTCACGAAAAGATGTGTCACTCCCCGCAATGACAACACATTCCTGTAGGGACCCATGGAGACGGAACTCGGAGGGAGAATATGTTGTCACATATTTGATACGTTTTGTGCTTACACTGGTCGTCGTCGTCGTCCTCCTCCTCCTCCTGCTCCTCCTCCTCCTCCGCCCCCTCCAGGAATCGACCCCATCAGACGCTGGCCACTCCTCCTCCTCCTCCTCCTCCTCCTCCTCCTCCTCCTCCTCCTCCTCCTCCTCCTCCTCCTCCGCCTCTTTCTTAGCCTCGGCCCCCCCGCCGTGCCTGCCGCGCAGGCTCGAGGAGGTCATGAGCATGAACGGGCTCAACCTCCACATCCTCGAGGCCGCCGCTGGGCCGGGCCCGCTCGACTGGCGCCGACCGCGGGGGGCAAGGGAGGAGGGAGGAAAGAGGAGGGAGGAGGGAGGAGGGAGGAGGAGGAGGAGCAGGAGGAGGAGGGAGGAGGGAGGAAAGAGGAGGGAGGAGAAGGGAGGAGGGAGGAGGGAGGAGGGAGGAGGGAAAAAAGGAGGAGGGAGGGAGGGAGGGAGGGAGGGAGGGAGGGAGGGAGGGAGGGAGGGAGGGAGGGAGGGAGGAGGAGGAGGAGGAGGAGGAGGAGGAGGAGGAGGAGGAGGAGGAGGAGAGCGAACGAACAAACGAACAAACGAACAAACGAGTCACCTACTCACGAGCAAACAAGTTGGTTCCTGAGTGGCCTTTGCAGGCAGCTTCACTCGGCATCCCGCCCCTGCGGGCACGGCCAAGTGCTCGGGCCCCAACCCGCCCTCAGGCGCGGGGATACGCGCTCAAGGGGGGCAGCGGCGCGGCTCGAACTGACAAACTGCTGGCCAGCACAGCGGCCCAAAACTTAGCAAACCCAAACTACCTGGGACCGAGCTGTTTCTAGCCCGAGGTCTTGAAACTTGCCGTTCCTGGGCAGTAACTCTGCGAGAGTCACCAGGGACTCCTTCCAGAAACTCATTCTCTGCCAATCGGAACGGCTGAGGGGCCCCCGAGGAGGAGGACGAGGCAACAGCAGCAGCACTTAGGGGAGGACGAGAGGGAGGACGGGGAGTGAGGGCCCCTCTGGCCGCTAGCTCGCGCAGACGAGCAGACTGCGCCAGCATAGGCCTCCTCGCCACTTCACGGGCGATGGTAGCCACGATTCTGGCGTTGGCTGCTGCAGCCGCTCGCCTCTCAGCTACGTCCCTCCCTTCCCCGCCCACGACTCCACCCCACTACCCCCGCCACACTGCTGCACACTACTGTTTGCACTCTCACTCACTTCGTGATACGATCCATACGCTTGGCTGCGTCCCTCTCGAGGGCCCCTCGCGGGGCTGCTCCCACCTATCTCTCCCCGCCCACCGTCTTCAGATAAAGGACCAAACACTGCTCTAGCTGCGGCACCCTGTGATCGAGGGCGAACGTGAGACGATACTTCTCCGCGCTGGCCTCCTGCTTTCTGGTGGCACGGATCCTGCACGCACGCACTTGGTTTGCTAAGTCTTGCAGCTCTCTGACCAACACTACCGTTGTCCAACACTCTTCGAAGCACGTCTTGCAGTCCGTGGGGTACTTGGGATCTTGCGTTGCTGCCTTGATCAGTGCTGCCCACACCTGCAAAAAAGGTGGGCCCAACTGAGCGGCGTCGTCGCCGTTCTCCTTGAGCTTCTGTACGTGGTTGTGATGCTGCACGCCTGCGGCCTTGGCGGCGACTGCCGCGACCGCATCCACGGGCATCAGAAACGTGAAACACCACACCCAGATGTTCCTCAACTCCGCGGCATTTGTGAGCGACAGCTTCGTGAGCATGACTACGAGCTGCTTCAAAACGTTCCCCCCTTTGACTTCGCCGCTTCCACATGCCTGGCCTGCTTCGTCTTGCGGTCTGCCACTTAGTCTACCTCCTGAGACACGGGCTGCTCGAACATCCAAGCGGGACGCTTGTCCATGCTCATGGGCGCCTCTGCGCCGAAGCCACGAGGGACGAGCCTCTGGGCAAGGATCAAGCTGTGTGCGAAGATGAAACTGCAGAGCCTCAACACTGCGATCAGACTACACACATCGCGGACACTGGCAATATGAAGGCAGACTGACAGGCTGAATATTCCGAACCATCACGTCACTGCAATACCCTCGTGCTAGCGAATCTCGAAGCTGCCGTCGACATACGACCCGAGAAGCAAACGTAGCCAGACATACACAGCACTGGAGGAGGAGGAGGAGGAGGAGGAGGAGGAGGACGAGGAGGCATGTCTACCCGAGAAGCAAACGTGCAGTTGTACACGCAAGCACTGTGAGGAGGAGGAGGAGGAGGAGGAGGAGGAGGAGGACGAGGAGGAGGAGGAGGAGGAGGGGAGGAGGAGGGAGGAGGGATGGGGGGAGGAAGGGGAGGGAAGAGGGAATGAGGGAAAGAGGGAGGAGGGAGGCAGGAGGCGGGAGGCGAGAGGCGGAGTCGGGTGGGGGAGGCTTTGGAGGAGGGAGGATGGTAGCATGGGAGGATGATGATGGAAATAGGGAGGAGGGAGGGGGGAGGAGGGAGGAAGGGAGGAGGGAGGCGGATAGGAGGGAAGATGAGGAGGAGGAGGAGGAGGAGGAGGAGGAGGAGGAGGAGGAGTGAGAGGAAGAGGGGGCGAGGAGGAGGAAGAGGGAGGAGGAGGAGAAGGGAGGAGGAGGAGGAGGGAAGAGGCGGAGGAGTGAGGACGAGGCGGGGAGGAGGAGGAGGGGAGGAGGAGGAGGTGGAGGAGGGAGAGCGAGGAGAAGGGAGGAGGAGGAGGTGGAGGAGGAGGAGGAGGAGGAGTGGGAGAAGGAGCAGACGAGAAGGAGGAGGAGGAGGAGGAGGAGGAGGAGGAGGTGGGGAGGATGGATGAGGTGGAGGAGGAGGGAGGAGGAGGAGGAGGAGGAGGAGGAGGAGGGAAGGGGAGAAGGAGCAGAGAGAAGGAGGAGGAGGAGGAGGGGATGAGGAGGAGGATGGAGGAGGAGACGGAGGAGGAGGGGGAGGGGGAGGAGGAGGAGGAGGAGGAGGAGGATGGGGAGCAGGAGCAGGAGGAGGGAAGGAGGATGAGGAGGAGGAGGGAGGGAGAGGAGGAGGAGGAGGAGGAGGGGGGAAGGGGGATTCTGATCCGAAGTTCCTCCACCTCCATTTCCTCCGTTTCCCTCTCCCGCTCCTGCCCCTTTATCGGTGAGGAGCGGGCGAAGGAATTTGCTGAGGTGGGGGAGGATGAGGTGGAGGTGGAGAGGTGGATGTAGTGGAGGAGGAGGAGGAGGAGGAAAAGGCGAAGGAGGAGGAGGAGGAGATGCGGAGGAGAGGCGGATCAGCGGGATCGGGGGGGGATGGAAGGAGGAGGAGGCGGAGGATGGAAAGTAAAGGAGGAGAAGTTGGTAGTAGCAGTAGGAGTAGGAGTGCGGAGGAGGAGGAGGAGGTATGAGGAGGAATGGGAGGAGGAGGAGGAGGAGGAGGAGGAGGAGGAGGAGGAGGAGGATGGAGAAGAGGCGGAGGAGGAGGAGGAGGAAGAGGAGGTGGAGGAGGATGAGGAATAGGAGGTGGAGGAGGAGGAGGAGGAGGAGGAGGAGGAGAGGAGGGAGGAGGAATGAGGCGGGAGGATGGATGAGGAGGAGGAGGAGGAAGAGGAGGAAGAGGCGGAGGATGAGTCGGAGGAGGAAGATCAGGAGGAGGAGTAGGAGGCGGAGGCGAAGGCGGAGGCGGAGGAGGACGAGCGGATAGGAGAGGCAGGATTATGACAGTGACAAGAGTTCAACCAGGCAGACGGCAGAAGAAGGGAGGATGTGGGGGAGAAGGGGGAGGAGGACGACAGGAGGCGGAGCGAGGCGGACAGATGAGAGACAGCAGGATGAGGATGATGACAAGAAGGCAGAAGGAGCATGAGGAGGAAGGGGGCAGGGGAGGGAGGGAGGCAGGCAGGCAGGGTGGAAGGGGGTCCTCCTCCTCCTCCTCCTCCTCCTCGTCCACCTCTTCATGAAGGAAAACACAAGAACATGGTCCAAGCTCAGGCGCGCGGGTTCCCAGGTGAGGGGCTGACGCGAAGTTTCCAGGCGCGTCGGAATTCGCGGCGGATTGGATTGCTGGTTTCGCGCAGCTGGGTCAGGGCGACGGGGGCGGAGCGAGGGGCTGGGAGAGAGGGAGCGGGGGGAGCGGAGTGGAAAGGGAAAGAATGGGGACAGTAATGGACGGAGGGGGGGGGGGAAGGAGACAGATGGGAGGGGTGATGCGAGCAGCCGCCAGGTGTTGAAGACCCTGGTCTGGTGCTTTCTGACCCGACCTCAGCCAGCCCTGACCCGGCAATCGTTTTGCTCACCCAGATGGATGATCCAGCCGCTCATTCCCGCTCCGCCCCCACCGTCCCCGTTCTCTTCCTCCCATGTCCCTCCCTTCTCTTACTCATCCCTCCTCTTCCTCCTCCGCGTTTCTTCCTGGCTTTAGCTAGTTAACCTTCGCCGGGCGACCAAGCCATCTTTTTGATGATCGATCCGGCCGCACCCGACGCCGCATCTCGCCACCCCCGTTGCGCCTGGACTGGGATGCGGAGGAGGTGGGAAAGGAGGGGCAGAGAGGAGGAGGAGGAGGAGGAGGAGGAGGAGGGGGAGGAGGATGAGGAGGAGGGTGATGATGAGGAGGAAAGTATGCAAGGGGGGGAGGAGGAGGGATACCAGGAGGAAGAGGACCAGTGTAAACCCAAGACGCATCAGCGGTGTTGCAGCTAACCCTCTCTCCACGTTCCCATGTCTCACATCCCTACAAGAACGTGCTTTCATTGCGGGAAGGGCCCCATTGGACAACAAATGTCTGCGAATATTCCATCGCACTGCAGCACCGTTCTCTGAACTTCCTTGAACACTAGGAATTGCCGTGACTGTTGCGTCTCGACGGTCCTGAATCGTGTCCGCACGCCGTTCCCGGGACTTCAGCACCGCGATTCCACATGGAACCAACCCTTCCACAGGGGAGCAAAAACCCTCGTGAGGGGAGTGGGGGGATTGGTTGGGGAAGGAGCAGGAGGCGGAGGAAGATGAGGAGGTTGAGGACGACGAGGAGGAGGAAGAGGGCGGCGATAGATAGATAGGAGGAGGAGGATGAGAAGGAGGAGGAGGAGGAGGGGGAGGAGGACGAGCAAAGAGGGAAATAATGAGGATGAGGATGAGGATGCGAATGAGGAGGAGGAGGAGGAGGAGGAGGAGGAGGAGGAGGAGGACGACGATCAGGACGGCGAGGAAGAGTAAATGTGGACGATTTGAGAAGGATGAGGATGCAGGTTGAGCAGGGAGGAGCGGAGGGAGGAGAAATCATGGTGTGAGGAGGACGAGGGAGGACGGGTAGGGGGAGGGATGGGAGGAGGAAGAGGATCGAAGAGGACGAGGAGGAGGGGGAGGATGAGGAGGAAGGAGGAGGAGGAGGAGAAGGAGGAGGAGGACGAGGAGGAGGCGGATGGAGCATTTGGACTGGAGCGGAGGAGGAGGAGCAGGGGGAGGAGGAGGAGGAGGAGGAGGAGGAGGAGGAGGAGGAGGAGGAGGAGGAGGAGCAGGAGGAGGTGGAGGTGGAGGTGGAGGAGGTGATGATGTTGCTCATGACGCTGGTGCTTGTGGTGCTGCTGCTGCTGCTGCTGATGATGATACTGCTGATGATGCTGCTGCTGCTGGCTGGCTGGCTGGCTGGCTGGCTGGCTGGCTGGCTGGCTGGCTGGCTGGCTGGCTGGCTGGCTGATGATGATGATGATGATGATGATGATGATGATGCTGATGCTGATGCTGATGATGATGATGATGATGATGATGATGATGATGGTGACGATGACGATGACGATGATGATGATGATGATGATGATGATGATGATGATGATGATGATGATGATGATGATGATGCTGATGATGATGATGATGATGATGATGATGATGGTGCTGCTGGCTGATGATGCTGATGCTGAGTATAATCATGCTGATAACGATGCTGATGCTGATGCTGGTGCTGCTGCTGATGATGATCATGATCATGCTGATCATACTGATGCTCATGATCATGATCATGATCGTGATGCTGCTGCTGATGATGATGGTGATGATGATGCTGCTGGCTGTTGATGAAATTGTTGCTGCTGGCTGATGATGGCGATGCTGATGCTGATGCTGTTGATAATGACGATGACGATGGACATGATGATGATGTTGCTGATGCTGATGCTGGTGCTGCTGATGACGATGACGATGATGATGATGGTGATGCTGGTGGTGGTGATGATGATGATGCTGATGCTGATGCTGCTGCTGATGATGATGATGATGATGATGCTGATGCTGATGATGATGATGATGATGATGATGATGATGATGAGGAGGAGGATGATGATGATGCTGCTGCTGATGATGCTGATGCTGATGCTGATGCTGATGCTGATGCTGATGATGATGCGATGATGATGCGGAGGCGGCGAGTAGAGGAGGAGGAGGAGGAGGAGGCGAGGCGGAGGCGGAGCGGAGGCGGAGGAGGAGGAGGAGGAGGAGGAGGGAGAGAGGAGGAGGAGGAGGAGGAGGCGGAGGCGGAGGCGGAGGCGGAGGCGGAGGCGGGAGGCGGAGGCGGGAGGCGGAGGAGAGAGGAGGAGGTGGAGGAGGAGGAGAAGGAGCGGAGGCGGGAGGAGGAGGCGGAGGAGGAGGAGGAGGAGGAGGAGGAGGAGGCGGAGGAGGATGAGGAAGGAAGGAGGAGGAGGAGGAGAGGAGGAGGGGGAGGAGGGAGGAGGAGGAAGGAGGAGGAGGAGGATAGAGGAGGAGAGGAGGAGGAGGAGGAGGAGGAGGATTATGATGGTAATGATGCTAATCATGAAGCGCCCCGCAGTTGCGGAAAAGAGTCAGGGGGCGGCGGGTTAGTCGGCAGTCTGCGACACTCTGAAGAAGACCACCGTTGCCGCCGCCAGATTTGTAAGACATTACACGAGCCCGCCGCAGGCGCCGAACTTTCGTCAAAGCGAGTGGGCGGGTCGCGGGGTGGGTCGCGGGGTGGGTCGCGGGTGGGTCGCGGGTGGGTCGGGGGTTGGTCGCGGGTGGGTCACGGGTGGGTCGCGGGTTGGTCGCGGGTTGGGTCGCGGGTGGGTTGCGGGTGGGTCGTGGGTGGGTCGCGGGCCGGGTCGCAGGTGGGACCACAACAAACAACAAACACACAAACAAACAACACATAACAGCCACCACACAACAACAACAACAACAACAACAACAACAACAACAACAACAACAACAACAACAACAACAACAACAACACCAACACCAACACCAACACCAACAACAACAATAACAACAAAAACAACAACAACAACAACAACAACAACAACAACAACAACAGCAACAACAACAACAATAACATCATGCACAACATAAACAGCACCAGCACCATCACCAACAACAGCAACAAACAACACCGACAACAATAGCAATACCAGTCACCAACAACAACATCATGTACAATAACAACACCAACAGCACCATCACCAGCAACAGCAACACACAGCAACAGCAACAACAACAACACACCACCAACCACAACAACAACAGCAACACCACCAACAACAGCAGCAACAACACCAGCAGCAACATCAATAACAACACCAACACGAACACCACCACCAACAACACCACCACCATCAACAACACCGATATCAACTATATCACCAGCAGCAGCAAGATCAACAACAATCCGCACCGCCGAATCCCACTTCGCCCACGCACACAGGGACAGTGAATAACCGTTCGGCCCCTTCACTCTGATGATGGTTCGGGTGATGTTGGTGGTGATGATGCTGATGCTGGCAATGGTGACGGTGATGGGGGTGGTGGTGATGATGGTGATGATGGCGATGTTCATTGTGATGATGATGACGACGAGGATGATGCTGATGTTGATGAAGATGATGTTGATGATGATGATCATGATGATGCTATTGATGATGCTGCTGCTGATGATGATAACGATGACGATGACGATGCCGATGATGATGCTGATGATGATGATGAGGATGATGATGATGAGGCGGTGAATGATGCCGATGCTGACGATGATGATGATGATGATGATGATGATGATGATGATGAAGATGAAGATGATGATGATGATGATGCTGATGATGATGATGATGATGATGCTGATGCTGATGCTGACGATGATGATGATGATGATGATGATGATGCTGATGATGATGCCGATGATGATGATGATGATGATGATGAAGATGATGATGATGATGATGATGATGATGATGATGATGATGATGATGATGATGATGATGATGATGATGATGATGATGATGATGATGATGATGACGAGGACACGGAGGAGCAGGAGGAGGAGGAGGAAGAGGATGAGGAGGAGACATTGGGGATCAGACAGGAGACGAGACGAGGAGTTCGAAGGGGATGGGGGATGGGAAGAAGGCTGGGGGATGCCAGCCGAGGACCTTCCACTGGATGGCGTGCGTGTGGGTCGCGTGCCAGGAGGACGTCGACGCCCCGTCGGAGGACGAGTGTCTGACGCTCGACCCAAGCGCGCCCCCCTCCCGCCTCCCCGCGGCCCCACCCTTCCCGCTCCCGAGTGGGAGGAGGGGCGAGGAGGAGGTTAGGAGGAGGAGGTGGAGGAGGAGGAGTGGAGGAGGAGGAGGAGGAGGAGGAGGAGGGAGAGGGAGGAGGAGGAGGAGGAGGAGGAGGAGGAGGAGGAGGAGGGAGGAGTAATCGCTCGCTCGCTCCTCCTCCGAGGGGGAGGAGGAGCGAGCGAGCGATTGGCCAGCGAGCGACGAGGATCATGATGCTGATGCTGATGCTGCTTGCTGCTGCATGATGATCATCATCATCATGATCGTGTTGCTGCTGATGAATGATGATCTGATGCTGATGCTGATGCTGCTGCTGCTGCTGATGATGATGATGATGATGATGATGATGATGATGATGATGATGATGATGATGATGATGATGATGATGATGATGATGATGGTAGTGGTGATGATGATGATGCTAATGATGCTGATGATGATGATGATGATGATGATGATGATGATGATGATGATGATGATGATGATGTTCACGCTGACGTTGATGATGATGATGATGATGATGATGATGATGATGATGATGATGATGATGATGATGATGATGATGATGATGATGATGATGATGATGATGATGACCAGTAGCTACGCTCCCCTCGTCTCTTGTTCCGCGCCGCCATATTCCCTCCAACTGAGGGTTGGCGGCGCCAGCAATGACATATACATACTCTTCGCAGCTGTTTCTGTTGTAAGGCCACTAGGGCCCGCGCGCGCGCCCGGCCTCGCGTCCGTCGGCCGGCTTGCTCTTTAGATCTACCTATGACAGTGCAGTGGAGGCCCATGCCAAAAATTCACCCTGCTTGCCTCCAGGGTGCCCTGAGTTTCTTGGGTTTCGACGGTCTTGTGATGGAAAGCGCGACGCTCCCACACAAAAAATCCATAGACGTCCTGGGGTCTCAGGGTTGGGTTTCTTGCGGGAGGTTTCTTGTGGACTGGCTTCCATTGTATTGCTGAACGGAATCCCTAGGCATGGCGACAAGGAGTTCCCCAACCCCGAGGTTGAATACGGAACCAGTACTGCACGACATGTGAGCACAATCTGATCAGCGACATCACCACAAGCACATGCCTACGAATATATATATATATATATATATATATATATATAATATATATATATATATAAGTGGAACGTCTGTGCCCAGGCTCATACAACAAACAGCAAACTGAAAGGGCGTTTGTGTCTCTGTGTGTGCATGTAGTTCTGAGGCCCCAGGAGACCCCAGGAGGCCCCAGGCGGCCTCAGGAGACCCCAGGAGACCCCAGCAGGCTCCAGGAGGCCCCAAGAGGCTCCAGGAGGCCGCAGGAGGCCCCAGGAGGCCCCAGGAGGTTTCAGGAGTTCCCCAGGAGGCTCCGAGGCGGGGTCTGGGGTACCAGAAGGTAGAGAAAGCCCCAGAAGGCCCCAGGAGGTTCCAGGAGGCCCCCAGGAAGCTCCGAGGCGGGGTCTGGGGTACCAGAGGGTACGTCGGGGCTCGATCTTGGGAGGATGTCTCAGGCGAAACCGCCATTCTCTGAGAATCGGGGTCAAAATCATTGAAATTACAATGTGTTTTTGAAGATTTGATGTTAGAATGTTGAAATTCCCATGCGTTTTTGGACCCTGAAGTCACGATCTGTGTGAGGGGTGCCACCGATTTTCAGAATTTCGAGGATGTCCATAGCGAAACGGCCAGAAAAATCGCGAACGACGCGGCGCGTATGCATTAATCGCCTCTGAACTCTACTCCCTCGGAGAGGTGCGTATGAGAATCTATATATATATATATATATACACACACACCAATTGGATATGACTAGACAAACTGCTGGTTATCAGCCGAAATACTCGCCACGAAGTCTCGTGACTGCGTCACAGGCCTCGGGGGCGTCGGGACCGAATAAGTTACGGGATGAAGGCGGAACCGGAGAACTACAACACGGAAAAGGACCCGGGTTGGGCCCTTTTCTTCCGCTTGTCAAGGAGCACAAGATCTAGAAGACGTGACCCTCGTGACGGTACCCGCTGACTGTGTCAGCGGTGCCGCCGCGGGCCCACCTCAGAATGTCAGCGCGCAGAGTTCAGGTCAGCACGGAGGTTCGCCGTCGAGCCAGGGCGCCAGTCGCCGGGACACCCCGCGAGCCGACGGATCCACAGGACGGGCTGAAGAAGAGTTGCAGCCTGGGCTCTCCACGGGCCCCAGTGCCAGCATCCCTGAAGCAAGTTCTCCTTGATCAGTGATGATTCTTCCGTCTCGGAAGCCGCGATCTCCGTCTCGTCGGAAGCAGACGCGTGGGTGAAGTCAATACCGCCGCTTCCCGTGATACAGGGGTGGGTCTGTCTTCGGGTGACGGTCCGAGTATTTCTGATACTAGACTGCCGCCCGGGGCTGCGGACAGGGAGACAGAACGAGAAGGGTCGGTGGCTGTGGATGGCTATGTGACCGAAGCCTTTCGCCTCGGAGCATCGTTTCCTATGACTACACAGGCCGACGTAGCACCCGAATGCGGGGGGGCGATCGACCCCTCCGACGACGCGTCGCCCACGTCAGCGGTGCACGACGAGTCGAGAGGACCTGCATCCAAACAACCACGTAAATCTTTTGATCTGTCAGGCACCTCACCAATGGGCAAGCGACCAAAGACAAGTGGAATCCTGGATGGGATCTCGCTGCCCGAGCCAAGGGGGGCTCTGGGAAACTATGTTCCCGAATCGCCGGGCGTGGTGACCCGCTCGCGCGATCAGCCCCGGGGGAAAGGTTTGCGTGGAACTCCCTGGGGAAGCCAATCCCTGGGACCCGTTCGCGAGAGACGTTCGCGGCTGCTGGGCGCGGCCGCGCCGTCAGGGACCCCTCCTCTGGAGCGTCGATTTCACCAGCGCGCGTTGCCAGGTCGAACGCCTCGAGCATTCGCGTCCAGGACCCATGCGCTAGATTCGGTCCGAACTGTGCTTCGGTCCCTGAGAGCTGTTGCCCAGGGAGTCGTGCTGCTCCTGCTGCTGCTGCTGCTGCTGCTGCTGCTGCTCCTCCTCCTCCTCCTCCTCCTCCTCCTCCTCCTCCTCCTCCTCCTCCTCCCCAGTCGGTGGAGTTGCATGGGGGTAAAACGCACATTTGGCTCACACAGGACCCGAGGATCATCGACAGCATCTACGTCTTTCCTTTCCCCTCCCCCTTGCCCCCTCTCCTTTCCCCTCCCAGTTCTCATCCCCCTCCTCATCCTTTTCCCTCCTTCTCCTCCTCCTCCTCTCTCCTCCTCCCTCCTTCCCTCCTCCTCCTCCTCCTCCTCCTCCTCCTCCTCCGCCTCCTCCGCCTCCTCGTCCTCCTCGTCCTCCTCCTCCTTTTCATCCTGCTCCTCCTCCTCCTCCTCCTCCTCCCGAGCTTGGCGCATGTCTGTACTCGCAGCGGCGGGGGGCCGGCGCTCGGCCGCGGACGCTCCCAGCCTGTGGACGGAGGAGGCGCCGCGGTCGAAGGGCGGCCTTTGCCCGCGCGCTGGCGGATCACCTCCAACAGGGCTCGTTTCGACTCCTCCGATTTCGATTCGATCCGACTTCGATGGCTTCCGATTTCGATTCGATTCGACTGCGGATTCCGATTTGGGATCCGATTTCGCAACGGAGGCTTACTAGCCTGCCGATTTCCGCCGATTCGACTTCTCCCGACTTCGCTGCCAATTTCCGCCGATCCGATTCATTTCGATCGCCGATTCGACTTATCGATTCGATTCTGGGTTCGCCTGCCTCCAAGGGGGAGCGCTGCCAGCTGACCACGATGAGGGGTGGGGCGTTTTCCTAGCGGCGTCCGCCCTGTACGATTTCGTGGAGATGACGGCGACCATCGGCGAGGCGCTGTGCGAAGAGCTGTGCGCGTTAGTACGGCGCCGCTTCAGTCATTGTTTCGAGCCCCTTTCGACGCTGCACCAGGCGTGGTTCCTAGAGGCCGAGGCGCTCTAAGTGCAAGCGCTGCCGCTGTTTGTGGACATGTTCCGCCTTTCCGCCTTTCTGGAGTTTCGCACAACAACACGCATCTGGTTGATGCTTTCCACCACAACTCCTCCTCCTCCTCCTCCTCCTCCTCCTCCTCCTCCTCCTCCTCCTCATCATCATCCTCCCCCTCCTCCTCAACCTCCTGCTCCTCCTCCTCCTCCTCCTCCTCCTTCTCCGTCTCCTCCCTCTCCTCCGTCTTCTCCGTCTTCTCCGTCTCCTCCTCCTCTTCCTCCTCCTATTTTTCCTCCTCCTCCTCCTCCTCCTCCTCCTCCTCTTCCCTCTCCTCCTTCACCTCGTTCTCCTCGTTCTCCTCTCCGTTTTCCGTCTCCTCCTCTTCTTCCTCCTCTTCCTCTTCCTCTTCCTCCTCCTTCTCTTTCCTCCCCCTATTCCTACACCTCCGCGACCCCCCCCGCGCGCGGAGGCGTGTGCCACTACGCGCTGGCGGTGTACTGGGCGGTCGTGACGATGACCGGCACGGGCTACGGTGACAAGGCCAAGACGAGGGGAGCGGGGAGGGGGCGGAGGTCCTCTTTCCTCCCCCCCTCCCCCTCCCCCCCCTCCCCCTCCCCCCCCTCCCTTCCTCCCCTCCTCCCCCTCCTCCCTTTTTCTTCCCTGGAGAGGGCGAGAATCAGGCGCAAGGGGTGGGTGGGGGCAGGGTGGGGGGGGCCAGCCAGGGCAGAAGGGGCCAGGGGGCCAGGGGCATTGGGGAACGGGAGGGGGGGGCACTGGGGCAACGGGAGCGGGGACGGGGGAGGTGGTGGGCCCTGACTCCACATCTGCCGTACTTCCTGGGTGATCTCGCAGGCAGTGTGGAAATTACCGCACTACTGGTCAAGCTCCTTTGATGCCGATTTCCGCCCCACTTTGCCGTCGCTGCTCCCTGGTCCCGCCGACTTTTTTTGCAGAAACGTCCGCCCTGCTTTCTCTGAGGTGTAGAGTTCCGCTTCACTTGTTCGCAGCATTTGGGGTGGATCTCCAACACAACAGTAAGGTAAGTCGAAAGGTCAACCAAAGTACGGCGGATCCGGAGTTAGGGTGTGGTGAACCTGTGGAGATTAGGGGTCACCGCACGGTCTTGAGACTGGCTTTTTTTGTTTCCGAGGATGCCTCGGGCGACTGGGGCCTCCAAATTCCCACAACTGTGCGGTGACGGACCGCGCATTGAGGTCTCTCGTGATTCCGAGGTCACCGCGCGCGCGGGCGAACCCTGAACGACACAGAGGGGTCCTCTCGCATCGGGGCCCTGCGGGCGAGTGGCAAGGGATACGGAGGAGGAGGAGCAGGGGGGGGGGAGGACGAGGAGGACGAGAAGGAGAAGTAGGAGTAGGAGGAGGCGGATAGGAGGAGAGATGAGGAGGAGGGAGGAGGAGACGGAGCAGGAGCAGGAGCAGGAGGATGAGAGGCAGGAGGAGGAGGAGGAGAAGGGAGAGGAAGAGGAAGAGGAAGAGGAGGAAGAAAGAGGAGGAAAGTAGGAATTATGAGGAGAAGAGGGGGAGGAGGACGAGGAGGAGGCGTGGGTGATCCTCTGGGTAAAGATGGGGCGGAGAGGAGGGAACGCGGAGGGAGGAATGATGTACGAGTAGATGGTAACTAGACGAATGATGAGGCGGAGGAGGAGGTGAGGAGGTGGAGGGAAATGTTTGGGGTGAGTAGGGTGGAGCAGGAGGATTACTACCCGGAGGAAAGTGACACTACGGATACTGCGCGTCGCCAGCGGGAGGTGAAAGTAGGATCATCTGATGGGAGTCGGGTGCCGTGCACGCAGCACGCCCGCGGTGCGCGCAGATGGGACCAGGGCGGCGGAGGGAGCTCAGCGCGGCAGGCCTGCGCGGGCCCCCTCGGCCCCCCCCCCTCCTCCTCCTCCTCCTCCTCCTCCTCCTCCTCTCCTCCCCTCCTCCTCATCCTCTCCTCCTCCTCGTCCTCACTCCTCGGCCTCCTCCTCCTCCTTCCTCCTCCTCTCCTCCTCCTCCTCCTCCTACTCCTCCTCCTCCCCACTCCACCCCTCTCAGCCTGCAACGGGACTTGACACTCCAAACCTACACCTTCCCCCTCCCGCTCCCCATCCTACTCCTCCTCCTCCTCCTCTCATCCTCCTCTCCCTCATCCTCCCCCCAGCCCCCCTCCCTCCGACTGTCACCTCCTCCTCCTCCTAGCCGTGTCGGGGCCCAGATTTTTCTGCGCCCTTGCTAACGTTCACTTCGACACGGCGCGGCGTTAGCGAGCCAATTTGGTAGCTCCCGCGTCAAGCTCTCAGTATCTCCCGCCCCCGCATGGCGCCGCAGCGCAATGGCGGTGCAGGCAGCCGACAGCCTGTGGCCACCTGGCGCTGCCAGTCCTGCGGGTGCAACCGCAACGTGCTCTCCTACTGGTGGTGCAAGCACTGCGGCAAGAAATGGCAGCCGCCCTCGGTCGGCACCTATCGTGGGCCCCAAGGCGCTTGGCAAGATGGGAATGGTCTTCGTCTCTTCGATGCTGATCGTCCTCATCCCCCTTTGCGTCCTGGGCTTGTCACCGCTGGAGTTCCTCCACCATCGGGTGCGGCAGCCGAAGGTGGCGGACAGGGCGGTGCAAAGCTTGGCCTCTCCTCGACGGACCTCGCCCTCCTCGTGGACCTCACGGGCCGCGCGGGTGACCAGGCTTCGTCCGACAAGTACAAGGAGCAGCTCAACAACCTCACCGCCCGCCCTGCTCCAAACGTGCCGCTGGAGCAGCGGGTGGCCCAGTGTCAGCGTGAGCGTCTCCGACTGGCCAAGAAACTTCAACATGAGCTTGACAAACTCGACCGCTGGGAGAAGGAGATGGAGAAGCAACGTGCTCACATCTCTTCCATCTCAGAGCAGCTCACCCGTCATGAGGAGTCCTACAGCGAGCTGGTTGGCAGGCTGGCGTCTGAGGTCCGCAAGGAGGCGCCGCCCCCCGAGGCGCCCAAGATCAACATCGAGGACCTGGTCGCTGGCAAGTTTGACTCTTTCCAGATCGACCTCGGCTCCTGCCTTTCCTTCGACGCTGAAGGCGAACTCGAGCTGTCCAAGGAGGATAAGGAGGAGCTTGACCGTCGGCAGAAGAAGTTGGCTGAAGGTCTATCTAAATTATCCAAGGAGCTCTTCTCCCAGGCCTTGTCTCAGGCCAAATCCATTCGTGAACAACATGCCGAGCACCGCGCCCGCCTTCGCAAGAAGCGGAAGGGAGAGGATGGTGCCTCCGTTCCCGCTGCTGCTGGAGGAGCTGGCCCTGGTGCAGGCGACCCGCCTCGGCCTGAAGCCGGTGCTGCCGCGTCCTCTGGGGCTTCCGCGTCGGCTTCGGGACCTGCGCCGACTTCTACTTCTGAGCCTCCTGAGTCCGCCCTTCTCAGTTCAGTCAAGGCCCGCGTGGCCAAGCTTCAGCAACAGGAAGCCCCCCCCTCGCAAGCTTGCGCGTGAGGGGGGGAATTCTTCGCTCTCAGTACACGTCCATCCAGGGGGCCCCGACCCCCCCCCTCAAGAACTTTTTGATCTCAAGGTCATCACGGTTAATGGAAATGCGTGGTCTTCCGTGAAAGACTGGCTTCCGTCAACCAGCGCTCATATTATACTAATCCAGGAGCATAGGCTCCCCGCTGGAGACCCCGTCGATCAGGCCTCAGCGTGGTGTCTCTCTAACGGTTTCAAGTCCCTCTGGGCCCCAGGCTCTGTGGGCCCTCGAGGAGGCCTTTCTAGTGGTGTGGCGATCCTTGCTAGGTCTTGGCTAGGCATTCACTCTCCGTCTGACGGGGGAATTTTGTGGCCTCACCGAGCTCTCGCAGCGGTCGTCCACCCCCCAGGGGGCCAGTCCCTCCTCGTCTCATCCCTTTACATGCGTGACTGTGAAGGGCTCTCGGACGCGAACCTCGAAATATTATCAGCTGTGGGTTCCTACATGGCTATCTCGGGGCTTCCTTTTATCTTGGGTGGGGACTTCAACATGGAGCCGTCCAGCCTCCAGCAGGCTGAATTTCCTCAGAATCTTCGCGGCCAAGTCGTTGCCACCACTAGCCCTACGTGTCATGGTGCTGGTGGGCCACGACTCTATGACTACTTTGTGCTGTCTGGAGGCTTATCTCAGGCTGTTAGCTCGGTTGCCTTGATCGATGCGCCCTTCCATCCGCACACGCCGCCCCAGGTCACTTTTCACGCCGGTCTGGCCGATCTGCACGTTCTGGCCTTTCGGAAACCTCCCCCGATCCCCGTGGAGGCCCCGTTCGGTCCGTGCCCGTGCCCCCCCTTGTGTAAGCAATGCTCGGCCCTCCTCGGGAAAGCTTTGCAGCGGGCTCGTGCTGGCCAGACCGATGTTCTCGACTCTCTTCTGACTAAGGCCTACAAGTGTTGGGCCAACACTGCAGAGCTTGAACTCTGCTCGATCACGGGTATAGCACTCCATACCGCGGCTCGAGGGGCAAGGGACCTGAAACGTGGTGGCGGCCCGTTCTGGGTCGTGATCGCGGGTCGGTCCGCTACCCTGAGCTCCACAGTATGCGATGGTTATCCTCGGTATTCCAGGCTTTTGTTTCCTCGTATATGGAGTTTCTGGAGGACTCCCCTTCTTTGCTCAGCGAGGTCGACCGACGAGCTCGACTACTGGCGCAGCCACCTGATTTCATCAAGCGTCACCAAGGTGAGTTTTCGGATACGTTTCAGGTTGCCGCTGATATTGGCACGCTTTGGCTGGCAGCAGCATGTGCAGCTGACGCTTCTTGTGCTGGACCAGCTCCAGGGCCTGTTCTTGACCCTGCTCACGTTGATGATGCTCGTCTGACTATCTCTCAGGCTTTGGCTAAGTGTAATGACAAGCATAAGCAGCAGTCTCGGAAAGACTGGGCGGCTTGGTTGAACGAAGGGATAAATCAGGGTGCCAGGCGTGTCCACCAAGTCACCCGTGACCCTGCGGCGTGGCGCCCCACGTCCACCCTCAGCCGCTTCGGGAATATTGTTTCGGACCCGCAGGAGCTCTTGAGAGCTGAATCCAAGCGATTTGGGTCCTTGTGGAATGCGTCCCCCTGCCCTCCCAGACATGTTACTAAAGTTTTAGATCCCCTTCCCCTCGCTAGCATAGATCAAATACGAACCTTATCCAGGAGCTACTCTCGTCGTTCTGCCGTCGCGTTGGACGGCTTTCACATGCGCCATTATCAATACCTCTCCGACGAGGCCCTGGAGTGTTTCGCTCTCCTCTTGCAGGTGATCGAAGTCAGCGCGATGCTTCCCCAGCAATTGAGGGCCTTCATCGTGGCCCTGATCCCCAAGAAGGTCCCTGGCTTCCGACCCATCGGTGTCTTCTCCTCTCCCTTCAGGCTTTGGGGAAAACTCCGCCGTCCCTGGGCCCTGGAGTGGGAAAGACAGAATGATCGGCCCTACTGGGCCGCGGGGAAGCATCGGTCCGCCACTGACATTGTGTGGCGCCAGAGTGTACGCGCTGAGGCCAGCACCTCGGCTGGCCAGCATGCAGCTTCGATATTTTGGGATCTTTTGAAGTTCTATGAGCTGATCCCGCTGCACGTCCTTGAGGCGAGGTGTCATCGGCTCAGCTTTCACCCGACACTGATCGGGGTGTGTCTCGCCGCTTATCGATCGAGCAGGTACCTCGTTCTCAGTGGTGTCGTCGCTCCTGTGGTCTTCGCCGACACCGGTTTGGTCGCTGGGTGTTCTATGGCCACGACCCTCATTCGGGTCTTCGGGTTAGAGGCTTTCGACAGCCTTTCGCCCCCCCCCTCGGTCACCCTCGATGTTTACATCGATGACACCAGCCTCGATGGAGTTGGCAAGCTTGAGCCGTTGGTCGCTGACATGCGCAGCGCGGCTAGCCAGCTTGAATATGCGATTTCTCACTCCATGAAGGTTCACATTGCTATTGACAAAGTTGGCATGGTTACCAGCAGTAAGGTTATTTCCAGTAGGCTCCAGGAGGCCTTCGGAGATCTCGTGGGTCCCCTCCTTGAGTCGGCTGTCAACCTTGGTCATGACCATACTGCTGGTACGTCTAGGCGCGTCCGTGGACGCAACTCCAAGACTAAGGCCCGCCTGCTGTCTGCCACGCGCCGTACGCGGAGGCTCGCCCGTCAGCGAGGCGTCATCGGCAGACGTGCAACTAAGGTTTTCTGTGCAGGTGCTCTTCCAGCACTGCAATATGGTGCGGACGTGCATGGCATGTCTGACGGCGAGCTGTTGCAAGTACGACGTCTAGCAGCTTCCACGATGAAGCCATCCTGCGGCGGCCGCTCTCTATGTATCCTCACTCGGGTTGAAGGCGATCCTGCCTGGTATGGGTCAGTCGCTCCTCTCCTCCATTATCATAGAGAGCTATGGCTGTTGCGCACGCGGATGACAGATTATACTCTTTCTTGGGCTCAGATCAGAGTGGGTTGGGAAAGCGTTTGGAACAATCCCCCGCGGACCTGGAGATCTGTCAAAGGGCCTTTGGGGGCCATGTACTTGTCGATTGCTAGACTGGGATGGACCATGAGTTCCCCATACATCCTGACCGACGACCGCGGAGTGGAAATCCCTCTCCTCCTCATCTCTCCTGCCCTCCTCAAACGGCTCTGTAAGTCTGCGATTTTCAAAGCTCTTGAATGTGAGGCTGGAGACAAATATGGTCAGGGTTCTAGGCTTTGTTTCGACGTGCTGTGTACCTCTTTGAATTCGAAGAAGTACACTCCCAAGCAGAAGGGAATTATTAGAACTCTTACTTGTCAGGGCTTCTGGCCTTTGAGTCGTGCCAAGGCCCTGGGATACCAAGTTGAGGACAAGTGCCCTCTCTGTCAGGCCGAGGGCGATACGCTGATCCACCGCCTTTGGTATTGCCCTTCTTGCGAGGCCGAGCGTTCTGAATATATCAAGCCCCAGTTGTTGAGCCGCGTCCGCCAGGAGCTTGAGGCTGGCGTCAACCCTGGTTTTAAGGTGCTTTGTGAAACTGGGCTCTTCACTCACCCTTCCTCTGAGGCTCCCCTCCCTCAGTCGGCCCAGGAATCTCAGGACTCGGTGGTTTATGAGTTTTTTCCTGATGCTTTTGAGGAGGCTGGTCTGCCTCTTCCTCCGGAGGGGCGAAGGGAGGTTCGGGGCAAAGTTTTCCTGGGTGGATCGTGCTTTAGACACCCCGTGCGTGAACTCTCCCGCTCTGGATGGGGCGCGGTCTGGCTAAATGACCAAGGTCAGATTCTCGTCCGTACGTACGGCACGGTTTGTAATGTATATCCTCAGACGAGCGTGGCAGCTGAATTCGTCGCTCCTGCTGCCGCCTCGTGCCTGATTGAACACACGGCTGAATTTCTGTCTGATTGTAAGGCAGTGGTCGATCATTTTGCCCTGCCTTCAGCCCAGCAGCTCTCGCCCGCCAGGCCTTACAGTGGTCTAGTGATGCAGTGCCTGGCGAATGCTGACGGCAGACTCGAGGGTGTCTCCAAAGTGAAGGCGCACCTCACCGAAGATCCCAGCCTCCCCTGGGAAGAGCGTTTCAACATTCGTGGTAATAACTTTGCTGATGAAGCGGCGAAAGCAGGAGCGAACCTTCACCAGCCTCTTGAAGATAGCCTCAATGACAGTCTGTCTTTTTTGGTCTCAGTTTCCAAGGCTGTCGCCAACCTTGCCGCCCATCTCTTGGACCTTTGGCCCAGGACCAACCTGGACGGGGTCTCTTGGGAGCGCCCTCTGGCTCCTGGTCCTCCCAGGGTTCAGGGTCCTGGTCACTCCTGGGGTTGGGCTGGCAAATTCTGGCAATGCAACGAGTGCCTCAAGTGCTCTCGTTCTCTCTCGAAGCCTCCGCCTGGGAGGTGCACTCAACAGCTCAAGGTTTCGCCCCAGTCTCTAAGAGATTTGGGTCACCGCTGCATCATTGTTGACTGCAGCGATGGAAGTTTTGTGGCATTCTGCCAGCTGTGCTTCTTCTACACATGTGGAGGACAGCTTCGCGGTTTGGGGGGCCCCTGTCCAGCGAATCCCTCCCACCCTCAGGTTGCGAGAGGTCACGCTGACAAACTTTGGTCCGCCCACAAGTCCCGCAGAAGAGATCTTTGGTCCAAACTCAGCAGAGGACTCCATCCGAAACGGAATGGGGTCACAGTTGATTTGGACGGCATTGGAGTGTTATAACAATTATCTCTCTGATGCACTTTTCCCGCCCTGCGGGTCTTTGATCGTGGATGTCAAAAAATCCTCCTCCTCCTCCTCCTCCTCCTCCTCCTCCTCCTCCTCCTCCTCCTCCTCCTCCTCCTCCTCCTCCTCCTCCTCCTCCTCCCCCTCCCCCCCCTGGGGCGTCCCTGACCGGGCGAAGCAACACGTGGAGGCGGGGCTGGGCGCCGCCCCCTGCTGGCACGCGGCTGCCCCGCCAGGTGCGTGCCGGCTCCAGGAGGGGGCGGGCGGGGGGCCCGCGGGGCGAGCGCGAGCGTGTTAACACGAAGTGGGCATGCCGTCGTGGTCGCGGTTGTTTCGGCCGCCGGGGGGCCCCGCCGCGGCTGCGCCCGCGCGTCCGCGGCCGCGACTGATCGATGCAAAGCGTCGAAGAGGAATCATCATAAGCACACGAGCAAAATCAGAGTCACACTACGAATAATACGAAGCATCAAACGAATACGAATAATAAGACGAACGCTACTGATATTACTGATAACACCTAACACAACTTCTGCGACGAATGACGTGTGAGTAAGTCAGCACTACTCATGCCAAGCACAATCATTCTAAAAGCAGCAGTAATCATATCACTACCAGTAGTAAGGGTACTCATACTACCAATACTAATGTGAAAACTTGTAAGAAGACTGCGACTCATACAATTAAGCATTCCGCTCAGAACAAAAACAATATCAATATTAAGAACAATAATAACAATACGTAGACAAACACATAGCAGGAGTGCAACCAGCAGGCGGAGGAGGAGGACAAGGATGAGAGAGATCGGGAGGGCGAGGGGGCGGAAGGGGAGGCAGGGCGAGAGGGCGAGCGGGCGAACCCTGATCGACCCACAGGGGTCCATTCGCATCGGGGGGCCCTTGCGGGCGAGTGGCGCAGGACACGGAGAAAGAGGAGGAGGAGGATTAGGAGGAGGAGGAGGAGGAGAAGGAGGAGGAGGAGGAGTGGCGCAGGACACGGAGGTCGCAGCGTCGCCGTTCGCTCCTCGCGCCTCGCCCTCGGCGCCCCCTTCGCCCCTCCCCTCGTCGCCAGCACTGGCTCCCGCGAGCAGGAAGGGCGGGCAGGTTCGGGGCTCTGGGGGTCGGGAAGGCTTTCTGCTGTAGTTGTCTCTTCTTTTCTGGCCTCCAGGGGCCGTTTTCGGGCCCCGGTGCCATGAAACACGGATCTGGGGTACAAAGCTGCCCCGGATGGACCCCGGGAGGGGTTTGGGGAACGATTTTGAGCGGATTTGGCATCATTCACCGAGCGCGTTCCACTACTCCCAAAGTGCCTACTCGCAAACGTCAGGAAAAAATGTGTCTTCCTCTTGTGTAAAGGAGCGTGAGTCCCCAGAGGCGGATTCAGGCCATTGGCGAGCAGCTACTTTGCGAGTGGTGGAACTCTCTTGTCGAATCATGCCCCCTCCTGACCGATTGCCTGGGGTCCCAACCAGTTCAGACCTCCCGGCCGCCTCCGACACTCGCCCTCTCGCCCTCTCGCCGCCCCCCCCCCGCCCCTGCCCTCGCTGCGCTGCCGGTCTCAGGTGGCTGGCGACGTGTTCAGCTACATCACCTGCAGCGCCCTCATTGGGGAAACGAAGAATGACATAAACATAAAAACTCGGAGGTCCGCGCGGAGTTCTCGGATCCGCATTGGGGCCCCCTGGCGGCGCCTTCGGCGCCGCCCCTGGCGCGATCAGCGCGTCAGGGAGAGGGGTCCAGCGCGGATCCGAGAAATCCGCGCGGACCTCCGAGTTTTTATGTTCACAGCATTTTTCGTTCCCCTGCTCATGTTCCTGTCGGCCTTCCTGTGGGCCTGGGTCACCGGAGTCATGATCTCCGTCATCACGGAGCTCACCAGGCGCGGCATGCACCACGCAGCTGCCTTCCCCGGGCCACATCGCCCGCCGCGCGCGAGAGGGAGAGCTGCTGCGCAGCGTCAAGTCGGGCGTGTCCCTCTGCAGGACAGATATTCAAAAATAGTCACAGCAAAATAATCTGGGGACGATGTTTTGAGTATTTTTGAACAGGTGTTGAGCATTTGTTCGACTAGTTTTGCATTTGTCGTCCAAACTCCGCCTGCAGGAGGACATGCCCGACATACGCGTAGCGGCGCTGAGTCGGCCGCTGCGTTGCACATTTGAGAGCAGGGGGGTATCTCGAGGGCGTCTCGGGGGGCTCTTTTTGGCCCCTCGATGGCCTCTTGGGGGCCTTTCTTGGAATATTGTCCGCCTTTTAACGTCTTGGGGCGTTGGCATTTTATGACGAATGCGCGCGACGTCAAGGCGAGAACCATCACCTGAAAGCCACCCGCTCTTGATCGAGTTGATGCGAGATCATGGTGTTCGTCAGCGTGGGCCACAATCAATAATTATGCTGTTTTCGATGTGCAAGATACGTGGTGCAAGATATAGACGGTGCAACCTCTATGGTCATAATATACTTGTATGGTGCAAAATCTAGTGGTGTTCGGCCCATCCCGCCACTGTGCCTGGTTTGTTGGCCAGCTGCCTCTGGATACCTGTTTGGGTCTACCTGGATACCTCTGGGGGGCCTCTTGGAGGCGTCTTGAGAAGCTCTTGGGGCCTCTCGGGGGCTCTGGAGATCTCTTGGATGCCTCTTCGGCACCTCTTGGGCTCCTCTGGGGGGCTCTTAGGGGCTTGTCAGGGGTTTGGGGGGCAATCTCAAGAGAACTAGACTCCCAAGGCCAACTCGAATTTCCGCTTCTCGGGGCGTTTTGGGAGGCCTCCTGGGCCGACTTGGGGCTCTCTTGGGGACCTCTTGGGCCGTCTTGGGGTGATATTTGTAGCCTCTTGGGCCTTCTTGGAGTGTCGGAATCCTGAGAGAAGGATTGAGACCGTCTTGGGCGTCCTCTTGGTGCCCTCTGGTGTCGTCCGGGGGGCCTCTTTGGCCTTCTTGGGGCCGTAGTGGGCCATCTTGCAGCCCTCTCGGGCATACTCGAGGACCTCTTGGACCGTCTGGGGGTCTCTCGTATGTTCTGAGCTCGTCGTGGCGCTCAATGGCCTCTGGAAAAGTGACGCGACAAGCCCCAGAAGACATGCGGTTTTCACAGCAAACACGTCTTAGATCAACGCATGAGCACCGCATAGCATTGTTCGACATGGATGAGGGGAGATAATGATACCAGGATTTGCTTGCCGACTGTCCTTTGACATTTAGAATGGATGATCGTGCATGGTAAATATGCGATCGTCCTTTGCGGAGGGAAAGAGTTAACCCTGGCCTCAGTGGGGGGGCAGAGTCTGTTTTCACTTGAGATCGTACCTATATGTATATAGATATAGATATAGATATGGTTACGGATATGTGTTTAGATAGGTGAGTGTGTGTATATATATATATATGTATACATGTATATACATGCAGCTGTATGTACACATAGGTATATAGTGCAGTACGCGTGGTGCAATGGAAGAGATGCAGGCCAGGTCTTTCTCTCTATATATATATATACATATATATACATACATACATGCAGATCTGGTATGCTGTATGTGTATGGCCCAAGCTGTGTGGTACAACGCATGCGGTGTAGTCTGTGGTGTGATGCTCCTTGTGAATGGTTCAAAACATGTGGTGCACTCTATGTGGTGCAACCCACTTCGACTGTCTTGAAGCTGTCCTCTCTACTGCTCGTGCAAGCATCCCACCCTCCCACCCGCAACTTGGTCGCAAGACATCTTCAGACAAGACCGTGACGGTAGGTACTGCGTGGCACTTGGCCACGACACCGATGCCGACGACGACAGCGACATCGACGACGACGACGGCGCCGCCGACAGCGACTGCGACGACACCGACGACGTCTCCAATGTTTTCGACGACGACAACGACGACGACGACACCGACGACGACGACAACGACGCCGACGACGACGACGAAGACGACGACGACGTCGCCAACGGAGACGACGACGAGGGAGGAGAAAAAACGACGACGGCGACAACGACGACAACGACGATGGAGGAGGGAAGACGGCGACGACGCCAACGACGAAGAAGGAGGAAGGACGGCGACGCCGACGACGACAACGACGAGGGAGGAGGGAAGACGACGACGATGACAACGACGACGAAGACGACGACGACGGCGACGAAATAGGAGGACGACGACGAGACGCCGACGACGGACGACGACGACGAGGGAGGAGGATAACGACGAGGGAGGAGTGAAGACCACGACGACGACGACGACGACGGCGACGAAATAGGAGGGACAACGACGAGACGCCGACGAAGACAACGAGGGAGGAAGGACGACCACGGCGACAACGACGACGGAAACGACGACGACGCCAAAGACGACGAGGAAAGACAGAAGACGACGACGGCGGCGACGACGACGACGACGACGAGGGAGGAGGGAGGACGACGACGACGACGACGACGCAAGAGCGCGCGCGCACAATTTTGTTGAAAACCCGTGTTGCGAAACCTTGTGTTTTTGTATGTTTTTTGGACGCACGATTTCGAAATTCTTCCGAAACCGAAGGTTTTTGAAGGATTTCGGCATACGCCCGCGACGACGCGCGCGTCTGCACTTCGTCCCATTTTTTGCAGAGGATTCTCGCGACGGCACACGCGCAAGAGCGTTCGACAGATTTCGACATGCGCGCGCGCGAAGCCCGTTTGGTAGTATTTTGTGAAAATCTTGGAAACCCTATGGTTTTCTTAAGATTTCGCAAGAGCTCGCGCGTAAGTTTTTTTGAATCAGTGTTGCGAAACCATGTGTTTTTATATGTTTTTTGGAAATTCAATTTTGAAATCTCTCCAGAACCGAAGGTTTTTTAAGGATTTCGGCATGCGCGCGCCACGACGCGCGCGTGTGCACTTCGTCCCATTTGTTGCAAGGGATTCGTGAAAAAGTAATATGTTAGAACAAAACATGTCACCGCATAGTGTTTTTTACAAGGGAACCGCAGGGGGGGGGAACCCGGCTTGGCTGGGATGGTATGAATTCAAATTTAGGATGGACATGTGGTCAGAATCATATGTAATTTACAGCACGCGCGGGGGACCCGATAAGTCCGGGGGGGGGGGAGAATCTATTAGTCTTTTAGAGAGGAGAATCTATCTGGCGATGCTCTCTGTGTACGGTGCAACATGTGTGGTGCACTGTGCGCGGTGCAACCAATGATGCACGTGTGCTTGGGTGCCTCGCAACCTGAGTGGTGCACGCCACGGGGTGCAGTCTACGTCGTGCCAACAGTGTGGTGCAACCTGTACATGGCGCACGCGGTGCTCTGCACGGCGTGCGCGGTGCAGCCTGTGCGGTGCAGCCCTCTCTGCGGGCGCCCACGAGTCGCCCACGCAGGCGCCGACCGGCCTCTCGGCGCACCCGCCGGGGCCCCCCCCGGCGGAACACCCAGGCAGTTCCAGCCGCTTCTCTTGGGCGCGAGCAAAAGCGCAAGCAGTGTCTGGGGTCATGACGTTCCAACCTGCACCAGCCTTGACCACCCGAAAGAATTTCGACCACCACGAAAGCACCGAAGCCGGACGGTTTTCGCGCGTCGGGCATCGGGAGGCGATGCTCGTTCGAGGCTGCTTCGACACTTGTCTGGGCGCTCGAAATTATTTCTGGGATGTGGTCCTTCAGTACGATGGGAGCAACATGAGTCTGGGGATGTGTTTCAAAACACCCGATCTCCGTCCGTGTGAGACTTGGATGTCGTGAGACGATTGTTCGCGGTGATGCGGGGAGGACCACATTTCCAAAGGCGCCCGTCCTCTGTGCCTGCATGCGTTGCCGATTCGGAAAGCAATTGTGAACAGTTTTGTTCCCAACCATCCTGGGGTGTTGGGTCTTCGTTTTCAGTAAGCAGCGCCCCGCATCCCAACCTTCCTTTCCTCCTCCTCCCACTCGTCCCCCTCCTCCCCATCCATCCTCCACTTCCTCCCTCCTCTCTCCCACCGCCCCACTTGGGCACACCCTTCACACGCTTCGTCTCCCTATAGGGAGCTCCATCGAAGGCCCCAGTGGTTCGGCCCGCATGCCGCCACCACCCCACTTTGGCACACCCTTCACATGTTTCGTGGCCCCATATGGAGCTCCACCTAAGGCTCCAGTGGTTGCGCCCGCATGCAGCCACCACCCCCTTTGGCGCAGCGCCCACACGTTTTGTGTCCGTCTTGGGAGCTCCACCTAAGGCCCCAGTGGTCGCGCCCGCGTTCCGCCACCACCCCACTTTGGCACACCACTCACATGTTTCGTGGCCCAATGGGGAGATCCACCTAAGGCCCCAGTGGTTGCGCCCGCATGCCGCCACCTCCCCACTTTGGGACACCCCTCACACGCTTCGTGGCCCCACTGGGAGCTCCACCTAAGGTCCCAGTGGTTGCGCCCGCGTTCCGCCACCACCCCACTTTGGTATACCCCGCAAACGTTTCGTGGCCCAACAGGGAGCTCCACCTAAGGCCCCAGTGTTTGCGCCCGCATGCCGTCATTACCCCCACTTTGGCGCATTGCTCACACGTTGCGTAGCCCCCATACGGAGGCCCCAGTGGTCGCGCCCGCGTGCCGCCACAACCCCATTTTGGCATACCCTTGACACGCTTCGTGGCCCCATAGGGAGCTCCACCTAAGTCCCCAGTGGTTTGGCCCGCATGCTGCCTCAACCCCACTTTGGCACACCCTTCTCACGCGTCGAGGCCCCATAAGGAGCTCCACCTAAGGCCCCAGTGGTTGCGCCGCGTCCGCCACCCACCCCCCGCGCGACACGCGTCCACATCGTTTGTTCAACCCATAGGAAGCTCTACCTAAGGCCCCAGTGGTTGCGCCCGCATGCCGCCACCACCCCACTTTGGTACACCCCGCCTACGTTTCGTGGCCCAACAGGGAGCTC